TCCCCAGGTAGCTGTCCATGGGTGACTCCATGCAAGAAGTTTCGCAGCTGTTTGGAGGTGACGTGAATTCCATAGGCCTTCTTCAGTTAAGGCTGCGATTGGAGATGTCTTTACATTTTTGTGTACATTAAGGTAATGGACGGGAAACTACTTCTGCTTATCGGGAACAGCTTAGGTATGTTCCGCCCTAATGTTCGTATCCACGGGTTCTGTCTGGACTGTGAAAACTTTACTGATACGTGATTCGGCCAAAGTGTCTTCTTTTTGTTCCCCCCGCACTGTTCATTCACCTTTCAGTCGAGAAAATCCTGCTACCTTTTTCCTAAACATCACTCAAGTCACAAGCAATCCATCTCGCAAAGTAAGACGCAATAGCTTTGATGCAGGACCTCTTCAGTCAGCGTGTTTCAAATGACCCACTTTTGCACAATACCCACTTGAAGTCTAGTTTGTGTCATGAATTCGTTTATGGATCTTGTCTTTCTTAGTTTTCTCAAATATTATTTGGCTCCATGTCAGAAGAAGAAGGTGGTGTATATCCCTTAGGAGCGATGGTTTCAAGGAATCCCGTGGACGAGGACTCGAAATTATGCAGCGCAGGTTGAACGGGCGCCAATTGAGGATGGCTTCATCGATTGACGATGAATGCAGTGACGGAGGGCTTGCTCATACCTATAGATGAACTTTTCAACTCAGGAATTTTCTAACTTGGGTATTCTACACACTCAGTTATCTGCGGCATGTAAACTTTGGTGACACGCCCCATGAGCGGAATGAATTTTCTGCCACTACCCTGTGTGCGCTAAACTAATAGCTTGTTCAAGGCATTAATGGCTTGTATTGCCTATAATCAATCGATTACACTACAAAAGTGACGCAAATATTGCGCATATCCTCCTCTTACATTTGTATTGGTAGAAGCTACGTTCTTCGTCTCTGTGGATACGACGAGATGAGAGCTTCAAAGTTATTGATATGTTTCAGAAAATGTTTCAATACTCCTACAGTGACATGGTCTTCATTGCTGTGGTGTGGACTCTGTCTGCGCGTGTGGTTTTATGATAAACTCGTTTCTTTTATTCATAATTGTTTCCAAAAGTCCTGGTAATCTCTCACCATATCGCATCTTTCTTGCGAATACTGCTATTAGTCAGTTGATGGCAGACGTTGTTTACGTATTCATTTCACCGAGCGTCCAGGAAGATTTTCTGATTTTTTGGAAATATTTTTCAGTGTACACCGCATACAAAAAAGCAGTTTCCTTCAGTATAAGGTGGAGACCATCCACCGGCTGAAAGCCGCAAGATAGATTCGAGCACGTGTGGGTCAGGGCGCTTTTTGCGCAGAGACTATCACCGCATTCGCGACGCATTCAAAGTAAAGTACCCAAGTGACAGCAGTACTGCGAGATTTCTACATGACGAATCCTCCAGATGATAAAGTTTTTGTAAGTATAAGCTAAGAAAGATCCCGGCTTCTAGGCGAGTGCGCATCTCCAACAGTGGGGAAACGCTCGCTGTTTTCACTGTTTAACGGAAGCGTTAAGAAAGTCTTGAGGAATTTTTGCCTTTCAGCGTATCACCAAAGCGAAGAAGTGCGATCGAGAAAATGTGCTATTGTCTTCCCTCCAACGGAACTGTTTGCTGTTGGGTGCAAAGATGAAAGAAATTGCTGAAAAAAAACACTGCATCCAACTTTAGTGCCTGCGAAATTTTTCTTTTGATATGTCTTTTCTCACGTGTGTCTCTCCTTCTAAATTCGTTTCGTTAAACACAGGGAAAGGAATGTTCCCGTACTGATTGAGATGCTGGCTACATTTTCTTCGAAGGCGTTCAAAATGGAGTGAAAAAGTTCCTCAATAAGGAAGCCTTTTGATCACAAGGAGTACGGGACTAACCTTGAGATCAATCGCATATTTTATTACCACGAGGTTTTCAGAGTCCTCTCTGGAGGCTTACAAATCATAGTGATTTATCTCGGACCAAGTCGTTTCCTGGGGAAGGATGTTTGCCGTATGTCCTATACAGCAATGTGTGAGTTCAAGAGAAAATGTTATGATTATCGTAGTGAATGGAATTTTTCAGTGCATTTTACTCTTAACGCTTTCCTGTCGTGGATGATTTCGATGGTTTATCGATGTGTTGTCTTACACGTGAGTGTAATAAAAACAAGAACAGTGATATTGATGTGCCTGACCGCCTATATGATCCCTGTCTCGATGATGGTACGATTGTCTAGTACTTTTTAAAATAGTAGTATCCTACGTCACAGATGACTTAACAAGCAGTTGTGAATTTGAAAAATGTCGCCTCAGATCCCATTCTTACAACCATTGATTCACCACACGGTGGGATTGCTCCGTGGTTTCTGAAACAGTATCCTCCCTCGAATCTTGCATAACAGACAGCTGTAAAATTGAGAGACCCATTCCAACCACCTGTTTCGCCTGCGCTCCTGCACACCAGGGTTACTGAAATGCCCATACCAATTCTCTAGCATATTCCTTTGGTCGCCTCTTTTACGATCATTCTTTTGACAACCGGAATGAGGTCGATATAGATACTACAATGACAGCAAAAAGGACAGTCAATCGTGACAGTTAGAGTCTACAGAGTAATGAAATGCATAAAAGGGTATCAAAGGATGGATGTGGAGATTCTGGTAACGTCATATCAGGAGCACTGTCCGATTAGAGCCAGCAATCTGTAAGATTGAAACGATAAACACCGCGAAAACTCTCGTTCTTGGAGGTCTTCTTCTTACTTTCGACTCAATCACATACACCCTATAGTTTCCCCAGTGTTTCCGCCTCTCTTTTTTCTGTAGCTTCAGCAGGAAAATTTTGTATCCACCAGGCTTGGACAAGCAGAATTGGTTGTCTGACGACAGTGCTGCAAGATGCAGTGACGCAGAGATGAAAGATGCAGGGGCTTCGTTTAGCATGTGCCTTTTGCTGGTCAAACTCAGTATTTTTTCAGGTGACGTCAATAAATCTTGATACCTATAATAATGCTACAGAAGCTGACAGACTCACTAACCATTCAATTCCAAACATGCAATCTTATCCTATGGTAGTAATAGCGGACACTCTCCAGGTATATTCTACCCTTACGGTATTGCACAAGGTGCACATCATTCGTTGTATAAAATACCTGAACACGCATTTTTCAATGCAAATTTTTTACTGAAAGTTGTCCATTTCATGCGGGCACGCATACCAGAGACCTCGAGTCCTCCCCGTTCTACGGATATAAATTCGCGACCAAACTTGATGAGAGGGAATGGGTGTGAAAGTATCCTACTATATATAATCCGCTAAGTTTGTCTGTTGGTGTGTGTGTGTGAATGTGTGTTTGTGTGTCTGTATGTGTGTTTGACCGGAAATTCATAACTTCCTTCAAAACAGCGATGTGCGCTCAAACTGATAAGTGATGTAGGAGGTCGGGCAGGAACACTATTGGTAGGTGGCAGGAAGTGATAAGAGCTGATAAGATACCATAGGGGGTCTTAGAAAGGGTCACCGACTCCATAGCGCGCGTCACAGCGACGCTAGGACTTTAGTTCCAAGAGGCAGTATAGGGGACAGGATGAGAACATTATTGGTGGGTGGCAGGAATTGATAACAGCCGATAAGATATCATAGGGCTCTTAGAAAGCGAGGGTCACCAAATTCATAACACCGGCCACAGCACGACGAGACAGTTTCCAAGAGCAGTGATGATAGGGGACAGGATGAGAACATTATTGGTGGGTGGCAGGAATTGATAACAGCTGATAAGATAGCCAGGAAAATTCACAGCAGAGTTATAGCAACACTGGGAACTGCTCCAGCAAGTAATTCAGAGGTACTTAGGGAACATTAAAGGTGGGAGATAAATTCTGACAGTGTCCGACGAGGGCTTTTGGGTGTCTGTATCTGCTCACATCACCGTAGCCAAAGAATCAATGGGCGAATTCTTAAGACAGTCAAGGATAATTCCTTAGCTTAAATCCCTCAGTTTAACGGTCGGTCGGAATTGCTTCGCTCGAGTTCCCCGAAAAAAAGGATGTTTGGAGTTGTTGCCCAGTGAGGAATGATAAGAGCCACTGTGATTTCGATATTTTTACCATCGGAATCCTTCCAACCGCTATGCTGTCCGATTTCCAACGAATGGTGATTTTAGAAATATGATATGAGCCTAACAAGTGTTCATTAAAAGGGAGAAACATGATGAAATGGGCCGTTTTGGAAACATAGGAATTAGGCTAAGTGTTACTGCTCAGCACAGAAATCCTGTCAAGTATCAGTAACATAGGTTTAACCCTGCGCGCAGAAATGCGCGTCAGCCAGACTGGTCCTGTATAATCAAGATCCCTCTTTGAACATAACATGAAGTCTTCAGGTCTAGATGCTGAAGCCACAGCCAAGGTATCAACACAGTTTTATTTGGCTAACATTTCGGCATGGTTGCCGTTGTCGGAACCAGCTCTTTTCAACTTGTGAAACAAGTGGCTTCGATGGGGCAAAAGGTCCCGAGAATAGTCAAAAATCACGGCATGCTCCCAACTTCATAAAGAAGAATAAAAGCGAGTGGTGCGGACATCCGGCGGACAGCAGACAGATACAAGCTGTGGAACCGCGCATTCTGTGGACTGCTTTGAAGACACATGGTACGCTCAAACACATTGAGGGTGTATGAGACTATCAGCCCCCAGCTGTCGATGTGTCGTGGTCCCCCCGCCCAAAACTGCACGGGGTCAGAGTACGGGGCCGTGGGAAAGTCGTAATTCCTTGCTACGCCGCCCGTTTTTGCAAACTCACGTTTTTACTAACACCGTCCGCGCGGCGCGGTCGCGTGCAGCTCTCTTGGCTTTTTGCCAAGTCCTGTAATTGCGCTTTGGAATACAAGTACAACGCAATTTCTTTATGCGGATAACATTTTAGGTTCTGCAAAATAAGAACTGAAGATGATGACGAGGGCTAGAACTCAAGAGCAACTGTGCTGCTTCTGCAACAG